AGGATGTTGTTACCAATGTAAAACAATATTAATAAGCACTTGGGGAACCTATTTCCCTCTTGGGAGTTTAGAAAAATATTGTTATGTTAAAGGAAATGTTTACATTAATTTTCTAAGATTTCAAAGCAGGGCCAGGAAGAGTTGCTCCTGTCCAGCATTGCAAAGGCTGGCAAAAAAGACAGTGACTTGCTAAAATAACAAAGAGTATCCCGTGGGCACTTTAGAATTGCATGTTCTATTGTCAAAGGCCATGGCTGGATCCCAGATCCGCTGCCTGGAGAGTGAAGAGCCATACATTAAAGTAACCGAATCAAATCCTGAATTTTATTATTGTGAACGTCAGCGGTTGGCCCTTGAAGCTCTACTTGCCAATGGTGAGGAAGCCTTCAATCAGTGCCTCTCCCGTGAAAAGCTGCGCCCCTTTCTGTCAGAGGGTGAACTGCAGGAATTAAAGGCTACAGCAACGGCAGAAGAATTACAGGCTCCTCCTACAGGTGGAGTAGGGACTTACAGTTTTGGAACAAAGGGATCTAGTCTCAGCTACTGGCCTCAGCGTTCAGATGATCCACCCCCAGATCTGGAGCTAGGGTGGCCAGACCATGGGGCTTGGAAAGGAATTACCCGAGCGGAAGTCTATACCCACCCACCAGGAGAAGGAGCGCCACATATCAAGGAATTGGTACGCAGCTGTATCCAACAAGCCAATAAGGTATGAAGGAAAGGTAACATTGAGCATTTTCCTCCTTGAGATGAAAAAAAAAGTGAGAAAATATGTGAAGAGTTTTAACAAAGCTATTCTGCAGAAAATGGGATATTCCCAAAACTGAGACATTTCCACATTATTGCCACACAAAAATCTTTATCAAATTGTCTTCCCTTTCAAAAAGACAATGCATTGCCAATTTCCATATGCTTTGTAAGTCAGGATATCATAAAACAATAGTTTAGAGACATAAAATATCTTTCTGTTTGAAGATACTGTGATACATCATGTCTGGTAGTACACCATGATAGTATATCACGTCTGCCAATTCCAATTTTGAAAAGTATAAATATTAGCATCTTTTAATGTACTGATCTGTTAACTGGTCTGCCTTCTGATTCATTAAAACTAAATTTAATAGTTTAGTCTGGCTAGTAAAAGACTGCAGCCATAATATACAGGTAGTCCTTGAGTTATGACTGCAATAGAGCCTATAACTGTCGTACCTTATCGAGAAAAGTCAATTAGAAAAATATCTATTCTCAGTCATTCATGTCATGATTGTCCCAGAGGTGTTTTTTTCAAAAGGCAATTGGACTTTCTTTGTTTTCCTTGAAGACATTTCCTTTCTCATCCAAGAAGCTTCTTCAATTCAAACAAGAGTCAGAACTGAAGAAGCTCCTTGGATGAGAAGCGAAACGCCTTCAAAGAAAATCAAAGAAGGTCCAGTTGCCTTTGGAAAAAGCACCTTTGGGTCAATTAGAAAAAGAATATTCTTTTAGATTGAAACCAAAGCCCAAACCCAAAAATGTCCGAGCCCACAGAACAAGATATAAATCCAATAAAGTATGTGTGCAGTGGATGTTGGCCAAGGGGGCATATCAAAACAAATCAAGGTGTTTGAAGCAAAAGTATTGACTTTTGTAAACCTTCTCTATCAATATCCCAATGTTCATATAATTCTGCAAACTGGATTCAGCTCACTTTACTGTTATTTTAAGGAGATATAATTTGGAAAGCAAGACTGCAAACCTTTTGCTGGTCTCACAAGCAAACTATTTCTTTTCTAGGTGATTGCTATAGTCATGGACATTTTCACAGATCCTGATATTCTCTTAGATCTGTACGATGCAGCAATTAGGCGGCGGGTACCAGTCTATCTTGTGCTCAACCAGCAGCATCTTCACTCTTTCCTCTCCATGGCTGAGAAAACTTGCCTTAATGTCCGTCACACAGAGGTGAATAGGGGAATGTTTCCGTTTCTAAACCCCAAAAGAGCAGGATTTTAGCACTAGCTGACTTTACTTACTTATCATTTGGTTTGCTTTTAAACACCCTCTCCCCCAATACAAACACATTAATGTTGGCATTTGCTGAACACAGGATCAAGATTTTTGTCAATGGAATCTTTAGAATTAATTGTATTGAGCAAATAGATTGAAACACTGAGGAAAGGGGTTCTGGCCAAAACAGGGGGTGGTGGGCGTTGAAAATGGGACTGTCATTATCTTCATCAAAATCATAGCTGTAACTCCCTTTAATTTTAAATGCAAAGCACACTTGTTCACATTGGATTTGCAAAGCTTGTTTTAGTTGTTGGGTTTTTTTCCAAACATTGGTTAGATAATATATCAAGCAATAGTTAAGAATATCCACAAGTACAGGTAGTTCTCGACTTACAACCACAATAGAGCCCAAAATTTCTGTTGCTAAGTGAAACATTTGTTAAGTGAATTTTGCCCCATTTTACGACCTTTCTTCCCACAGTTGTTAACTGAATCACTGCAGTTGTTGAATTAATATCACAATTCTTAAGTGAATCTGGCTTCCCCGTTGACTTTGCTTGTCAGAAGGTCGCAAAAGGGGATCACATGACCCTGGGACACAGCAACGATCATAAATATGAGTCAATTGCCAAGCATCTGAATTTTGTTCATGCGATCATGAGGATGCTGCAACGGTCGTAAGTGTGAAAAGTGGTCATGACATGAGTCACTTTTTTCAGTGCCATTGTACCTTTGAATGGTCACTCAATGAACTGTTGTAAATTGAGGACTACCTGTGTTGGAGAAGACTCAGATTCCAAATCCTGGCCTAGCTACAAAACTTACTACATAGCCTTTGTGAAATCTACCTTACCAAGTTATAGTGCTAATAAAAAGATGAAGATCCTGATCACACCAAGATCATTGAATCTGCCCACCCAGTGAGATCTAGTATGAAGGGTTTATTAAAGGTCTCACATTAGAGGGAATGACATATTTTGTTTTACTGGTAATAAGCCAGTCAGAGTCCTTGAAAATGGAGTGGCACATAGGCCAAATAAAGTCTGGAATACCTTGAAAAATGGTGGGCATGCAAATAGAATAAAATAAATCCAATTTGTATATTTTAATTGTAAATATGTGTTGTATGCCATTGGGGTACCTTCTTGTATCTCAGCCAATAGAAAACATAGTTGATTTTTTTTAAAGGTACCATTTTTTTTTTCAGGCAAAAAATTCAAGACTATTGAGCTAAAATGCTCTCCCTTTTGGGTATGTGTGCCAATATTTTTCAATGGCGGCACTGAACTAATCTGAGATCCTTTGAAATGTGGCTTGGGGTACCAAAAGGTCCTCAGAATCTTTAACTGTGGCCTTTGTGCATTGTTTTGATACTGAATCAATCGGTTGGAGCAGCTTTCCAAAAGATGCTGTTTTCTAGATGAGCTGAGTTGGTCAGTGACATTTCTTCTAGATCAGTGTTTCTAGATCAGGGGTAGGTAACCTTGGCTCTTTTATGACTCGTGGACTTCAACTCCCAGAATTCCTGAGCCAGCCATGCTGAGGAGAAAGGGAGAGGTTTCCATGCTGAGCCATGCTGTCTCAGGAATTCTGGGAGTTGAAGTCCACGAGTCATAAAAGAGCCAAGGAAGTTATACATACTAGGCAGTGATTTAGCCACTGAGCCACAGGTTCTCTTCCCCTCTTTGTCAGCAGAGTCAAGGGAGTAATTATAGGGAGTTCAGACAGATCGGTCTGATTGTGAACACCTTGATATTTTCAACTGCCATACTGCAGTTTTACTCTTTTTTACAATATCTCTTGCCTTGCCGCCCCCAACTAGGGGCATAGAGCAGGCTCAAGTCGCAACTGCGAAATATTTTTATATCTGGCAAGGCAAGAGATATTGTAAAAAAGAGTAAAACTGCAGTATGGCAGTTGAAAATATCAAGGTGTTCACAATCAGACCGATCTGTCTGAACTCCCTATAATTACTCCCTTGACTCTGCTGACAAAGAGGGGAAGAGAACCTGTGGCTCAGTGGCTAAATCACTGCCTAGTATGTATAACTTCCCAGGTTCGAATCCTATAAAAAGGGTATGGCTAACTGATGAAGGCAAAAAAGCCAGAAATGGTCCATCTTAGTCTCCCAATTTAATTCTTTACTCTTTGTCAGAAAAAAAAAAAAAGAAATTTGGATATAAAAATATTTCGCAGTTGCGACTTGAGCCTGCTCTATGCCCCTAGTTGGGGGCGGCAAGGCAAGAGATATTGTAAAAAAGAGTAAAACTGCAGTATGGCAGTTGAAAATATCAAGGTGTTCACAATCAGACTGATCTGTCTGAACTCCCTATATATATATATATATATATATATGCCTTTTTTGTACTTTTTTCTTGCCTAGAATTTGCGAGTCAGAACTCTTCATGGCTGTTCATTCCAAAGCAGAAGCCAGAAACAGATCACAGGAACTCTGAAGGAGAAATTTCTGCTGGTTGATGGAGAAATTGCAATCACCGGCAGTTATAGGTAAGAGCTCTTCCTTGCTTTTCTGTGCAATAAATGAAAGTGTTGTAGATCCTGGATCCAGAAAGCAGCAAAATCATGAATAGTTTATGGCTGCACAGTCTGCAAACTGCCTCTCTAGGGATGTCAGGTTTTGATCAAGAACAGTCCTATGCCCTTAAGAGTATTTGAAATCAGCAAGTGAAGCTTTTCTCCACATGAATCCGATCACTCGTTAAGCTCTGCATAATATTCTGCTCTCTTGGGAAGCTATATGATTCTCAATTAACAGGCAGCTTAATTTGGTAACTTTCCAAAGTTTCTCAATATCCAAAGTAAGTTTACTGCTTCATCGCAAGGCAAATGGAAGGGGATTAATTACAGGACAGTAGAGATGCAAATGGAGATATGTGGGATAGAAAGAAATGATAATTCAAAAGGAGCCATGCTCTCATGGGGTGTTCATGCTGAATGGTTATATTTTCCCAAAGAGGATTCCTTGGGTTGGTTGATCCATGCAGATAACTATGGAGATTCCTTGGATCAAATTGCTTCCAGGCTTGGATAAGCATGAGGCTATTTTAAATTCTGGTGGCTGCCATGAAGATGGTTATGACCATGAAACCAAAGGGGAAATTGATGCTCTTCATAGTATGGGAGGGTAAATTATGATATAATGGAAAATAACACATTTGGGGCAGAACACGTATTATTAGCCAAAGACATAGCTAACCTCTCTCTTCAATCTCCATCACTTCTGTTCAGCCTTTGGTTATATTCTCCTCATCCTAACTCCTAGGATCAACCCAGTGAAGGGACTGTTCAGATGGCACTGTGTTTGGGGTTAGATAATGTCAGAATGGCACACCAAGGTTTATTAGAGTAGGGGTAAAGAGACTGTGCCTCTCTAGATGTTAGATTTCTGGAGTCATGGGAGTAAGAATTCAGCCACATCTGAAGGTGCAGAGGTTCACCAGCCTTTCTCTAAAGTGTTGGCTCAAATAAAAGGACACCTGTTTTCCATTCTCAGTGGAATCTTAGTTTTTTTTAAACATATATAATTGGATTTACCCACATTTCTCATATATAGATACTCTTATATAACTTTCTGTATGTTATTTCTTCCCACTATGAAAATTTTTTGGAGACAGGGAGATAACATTGAGAATACCATAGAAATATCTTAATACATCACAGTGTATGAATGGGCAGAAAACATACAAAGAAATGGACCAGCCAGATGCCCATGTTAACATGCTTTTCCCTATTCCTTGCATCATCAGAAAAATATTCCAGCCTAAATTGCACTACCCAATGGCTGAGCCTCATCCTGCTTCAGGAACGAGAGGAGCAAGTGTGGCTGTCCTTATCTTTTTAATACAAGACAAATTCAGACAGTATCAGTTAGCTATTAATGGGCAGGTCTTTTTGCAGAAGGCAGGTGCCCATTCCTTCCTGCAGCCCAAGCCAAAAACTCATTCAAAGCAATGCCCTGTGACTAGAGAAAGTGTGCCCACGGTAGCTACAAGTGGCCAATAGTAGATCCCAGCTCCAATTGTGTTAGCCACTGCATCGTTGATGAAATATCCTAAATTGTGTCCATGGTAAAATTAAGAAGAGAAGAGGAAAACCATTATTTTGAAACTGGAAGAACTGAGATGATCTTAAGGTCTCTCGGCTGAGTTCTAGGAAAGAGACCAGGGCAATATTAGGGCATCTGTGCCATGGCTAGGGGTTGCTAAATGACCTTGGAGAGGGTTGTGGAACATCACGATATGAAATCAAGGATTAGTTATGAGGGGAAATTAGTGAACAGTAATTTCAGTAAATGCTAAACAGCTCTAGGATGCTTGAAATAAGGTTTCAAACAGAAGTTTTTCACCCCTAACAGTATATAAGGAGAAATAACCATCAGGACATTCAAAAGATATTAAAGAAGGTACAGGAGAAAGGAGAAGGTACAAGATAATTCACAAAATTTCAGAGCTGAGGTAACATGATTATCTTGGGTTCATTAGTGGCCACCTCCCTCCTAATGACTTTAAAACATCTTCCTAATATCACTCAGCCATCATTGAAGTGATAAAAAAAACCCTCATTACCATTATTTTGTTCCAACAGTTGAGTGTCTGCATAGATCAAGATTTTTCAATCTTGGCAACTTCACAATGTATAACTATAGGTTCCAGAATTAAAGTTACCAGGGTTAAAAAAAACCCCACTAATATAGTTGCTTGCTAGTGGAAAGGGGATTTGTAATAAATAACAGTACATTCAGATATGGGCTCCAATGTTATTTTTCAATAAGAATCGCCCAGATGGGTCAGGGGCACCCAAGAGGATGGTTTGGTTTGTCTTTTGGTTTTGCCTCTGCCACTGAGCATGTCTTGTTCTGGAGCCTCCGAAACCTTGAATTGGGTACGCACGCACACACACCCACAGGAGCAATTGTCTCTCATTCTGTTTCCATGCTGGAAGCTCTGCTACTGATCTGCCTGTTCTCCATAACTACTCACAGTGAAGTCTGCCAAGTTGAGTGACAGATTATTTTGTCACTTTCCCAAAAGGCAGAATCTCTCTGCCTTTAATGAGATGCGTAATGGGTAAGAAATACAGGAAGTTATGCTTTTGACAGCAGGGTATTCTAGAAAACACTGCCTGCCTTCCATTTCAGTCTGCCTTACACACATTAGGTGCCTCTGGGTGTGCCAAAAAAAAAGGGGAGGGAGGGGATGAGAACCCATATGTGAGCTTAAAGCTCTGCTGTTTTAATCAAAGGCCTCCCTTCACTGGGGATTCATACAAGTCCTGGAGGAAGAAAAGTTTAACTGATTTTGATGGAACTGGTGAGGCCTTTCCTGGTTCGCTTTTCAGTTGTCCGCAGGAGAAATTAAATGATTGACGAGTGATGCGAGATCAAATTTGAGTCAGTCACCGGAATCAAAGATTTACTTTTCCGAGTTTTTGGACTCATGCTGGAGCCGATCTTCAGGGAATTTCTCTCTACTGAAATATGTTCTTTGGGCTGGTCTGCAAGTCGTGTTTATGTGGTGCCTTCCTATTGGCTGATTGGTGTGTTGATGGCTGGCAATTGGCTGTCATTTCCTTGTGCTGCCAAGCCTTCGTCTTCTAAGTATTTGATAAGCTGGTGGTAAATCAGCACTCCTGTTAACTGACAAGGGGCCCATTTCCCAGGCTTCAATCCTTGTACCTGCATGGCCAACGATCTTACTAGTTGTGAAATTAAATGAGTGTCCTTGTTCATTGCAATGTGAGGCTATCAATAATTTCGGGTCTCCTCATCTGACCACTCGCTTGTGTTCTTGCAATTAGAAATCTCTGGTCCCGGTAACTGGCCCAAATTCGATCTCACGTCATTATCCTGGGACGCGTATATTTGCCTTCATTCGTGATTGGTGAGTGAAGATGGGTAAAGAATTGGAGAGAACTCTGTGCTAAATGGATCATGATCTATGGAAACCCCTTACGAGATTCATCCAAGTAATCCTGTAGTCAGTCATTTCTTCAAGTTTCAGGAAATCCAGCTTCACTTCCCAATTTCCCGTCCATATTCTTCTTCTTGAGATCTCAAATACTACCAGCTCCAAGAATTCAGAAATTGTCTGTTCATTCTTCTTTTCATCCTCCACCCACCAGGAGATTACATCCAATCTTTTGCCTATGACAGGGGTGGCAAACCTATGGCACGCATGCCAGAGGCGGCACTCAGAGCCCTCTCTGTGGGCATGCATGCTGTTGCCCCAGCAGAGTTCGCCAGATAGCAAGCACGTGGTGGCGTTTGGAAGCAACAGGGCAGGAAGTGAGCGAGCAAGCAGCGTTGGCCCCCCCAGGGATGCCCCGGAGATGGCGAGGGACTGGCCCTGGTTACGCTCACCCAGTCTGCCATAACCACTGCAACCACACCCACCCAGTTGGCTATGCCTCCCACCCGAGGGCACCACAATGCTGATGCAGCCCTGGCACTTTGCGATAAATAAGTGGGTTTTGGGTTGCAGTTTGGGCACTTGGTCTCTAAAAGGTTCGCCATCACTGGCCTATGAGAATACTAGTATACTTTGTGCTGCTCCTTCCTTATATGATATCACATAATTTGACATCACTCCTCTGTGAGGTCAATGGGTGGCCTTATTCCTGGGTCTCCAAATACTGTAGCTTTTGACACCCATTGTGATGTCATTGCTTAAGCAGTTATCAGATTCTAGGAGGCTGTTGCCAGAGATTCATTCTACTTTTTCAGCAGGTTAGAGTAGAAAGGATGAAGACTATGTAGCAAGAGGAGCGGAGAGCCAAGAGCTGGGATCCAGTTTTGTAGCTAAAAATAAGAAGTCAACCTCAAGAAAGACCAGTTGACGTTAACTCTGTGGGAAGTTCCTGCAGATCAGCCAGAAATTTTTTCCTGTATCTGGTGGGTTTTATAAATCGCTACTGGAGGCTAGCCAAGGAGTGAAGTGGAAACTTACATGAATTTCTGGAACCAGAGAGTCCATAAGTCTAGTTTTCTCCTAAGAAATAAAAACAAACGCTACCTTTTAGGAAGTGCAAATCAAGGCACCCTGATTTACTTCTAAAGCCAAACATCTTCTGTGGATTAGATGCCATTATATACTGAGCAATAGTACCAGACTTTCCAGATATAAGCAACTGAGATTCAGAATTATTAGAGAAGAGATGAGTTACTGCAGTCTCTTGTTGAAGCCCTAGGAAGAGAAGTTGTAAAAAAACAAAACACAAACATAATAAGTACCATCAATTGAATATTTTTCCTTTGGACATTTTGACTGAAAGTTGATCTGTTTTTGAAGTTTCTGAAGACACAACCCTTCAAAAGCTGGTGAGGACACCAGCATTACAAAAAGGAATTCAGTTGGTACCTTTTCGTACCACTCCTAAAGTGATAAAGAGTTCACACTGCAGAAGCACCACCTCCCCTGAGTTGTGATGAAGTGTTCTTTGCAATTTAGGCTGGTGTGCGTCTTGGTTTGCTTGCTGCCTTCCACTTTCTCCAAGGACTGCATCTTTTGTGAAATTACTTCCTCAACAATATGTCCTGGCCTCAGGATGAGCTGCGCTGAAGACGAAGACTGCTTTGTGGGCGAAGGGGTGGCCTTGGGGGTTTCAGACATCCTGAACAAGGGGTGTACCCGCTCCATCAACTGTGGCAAAGAGCAACCTATTGCCTACATGGGTGTCACCTACAGCTTGGTCACCAACTGTTGTAAGGGGAATTTGTGCAATGGGGCTCAGTCCCTGAGACGCCCTTCCCTTTTCCTTCAGTTTGCCCTCATCAGCCTCCTGATGAGACTCCTCTGATTTAAAAAAGTTTCAAGCAATAAAATAATCAGGATATTTTTGGAAAGTTAAGTCCTTGCGTTTGTGATGTGAAAAATGTGGTCACATGACTAGCTGCCATTGGAACTTTAGAACTGAGTCATAAATAGCTTTTGGGGGGAGGTTTGTTGTAACTATGGTGGGTCATAAGTCAAGGATTACCTGTAATTGCATTTATGTCACAGCTTTTTTTACAGTTGTGGTTTTAGGTAGCAATGCTATGATCATGTGATGACCAATCAGGAGGAGGAGAAAGGAAAAACTGTGGATATCTATTGCTCTTCACTTCTAACCTGGCCTCTAACCAGTTACTGGGAAATCCACTGATAAAGGGTGGGTTAGGAGTTTGGAGTGAAGCCGCCATTTTCCAGTCACGTGACTGCATTTTGAGTACTTGGCAGTCAGCTTGCTACGTTCCCCAGAACCAACGGTTCTATTGTCTATATGTGCTCAAATATATACTTATAGCCTCCAGCACTGAAACTCCTCTTTATGGACCATCCAACATTGGAGCTTTCAGGAATAACAGAATAACCCAGTTGGAAGGGACCTTGGAGGTCTTCTAGTCCAACCCCCTGCTCAAGCAGGAGACCCTATACCATTTCAGACAAGTGATTGTCCAATTTCTTTTTAACAAACCTCCTGTAATGGAGCACCCACAACTTCTGAAGGCAAGCCGTTCCACTGGTCAATTGTTCTATTACTTACCTAAGAGCATTTATGTTTATAGGTGGGTTTGCTGTACTGAGGCAAATGGCACATTCAAGAAACTAAAAGAAAACCCTGAAATACTCGGGTGACAACACAATTCATTCAGAATATGTAGATTCCATGTTTACAGCCAGGTCCTTTGAGTCCATTAACACATCACATTTTGTTCTCTGTGGTGGTGGCAGCAGATTGCTGTGTGGAACACTGCCACCCTGCTGTCTCCCAAGTTTAGGCACAATTTCTCCTCGTTGCTTTTTGATGGCAGTGAATCATACGGACCAGCTTGCAATTGCTCTGCTTCCTCAAATTTGGGCCATGAATTTCTCCTGTGGTCAATCAGCTTGTGCATTTACTCCTCTACGGATTCAGATTCAGGGACTATGGCTTTGGTGAGGTTTTGGTTAAGTTGTGTGCATTTTGGTAAAAGGAAAACGTTCCATCTTAAATTAGGAATTTGGAGTAGAAATTGTGCATAATTTGAATTGCTTTAGATATAAAAGGCAGCTGTGGAATATAGGATGTTTGCCTTAAATTATTTATTCTCCACTTAGTCTTCTAATTATTCTCAGTAGCAACAACTTCCTGTCTTTTCATCACTGTTTCCTGGATCTTTTCATCTGGATGCACCAACAACTGAATATGGGACTATAGAATCTTAGAATCATAGGGTGAAAGGGGATCTTGAAGGTCTTCTAGTCCAACCCCTGCTTGAGCATGTAGAACAGTGGTCACCTACTTCCTCAATTCAGAATGTGTTCTGTGCAATGGTGGGATTCAAACCGGTTCTCTGTGTGGATGCCGCTTCCGGAAGTTCATTCTGGGCCTGGGCAACAAAAAATTAGCTACCAGTTCTGCTGAAGTGGTGCGAACTGACTGAATCCCCCCCAGTGTTTCTGTGTGATCTAATTCAGGGGAAGAGTTTTTTGTTTTTTTTAAGAAGAATGAAATTATTTAATCATGACGACAGTCCATTAAAGGAAGGGGCATTTTAATTTGATTAGGATTACCCACAGACAGGGACATCACCATTTCAGCTTCCTTATGGATGGGAGGCAAATAGAATTTGGCCATATAGAGACCCGTACAATATCAGAGACCTGATTCTATAAGTGGCTTCACAGAGTTGCACTGTTGAAGGAAAAGTCTTCTTCATGGTTCAGTCCAAGCCAGGGATAAACAACATGGCGACTGCTTTAGAAAGAAGGTTCCAGTTTATTGGAGAGCCAGACAGAAAGATGGCTCTGGAAGAAAAGAGAGCGAGCACATGTAGGGAGTGGGTTTTTATACCCTCTGGAGCCTTTTGTTTGTGGAGTTGTTCCTGTGGCATGAACTTTGACCTGAGTTTGAGTGTGCCCTTTGGTATCTCTGTGGTAATCCTATTATGTCCTGTCTTAGAGTTTGGGTGGGGTATGTAGATTTTAGGAGTCTTTGTCTTTCTAAGCTTCTAGCTGGGGCTTCCAACCTTCCTGGATTTACATCTGCATTATAGAGCTGGTTTCTGCTTGGGGGAAAGAGACCTGGGGCTATTAAGAAAAATGGGCATGCTTTTCTGCCTCTTTAAGATCCTTTGAGGAAATATATTTTCCTGCCCTTTTAATATTTCCTTCTCTGGGGGGCTGACTTCCCACAGCACAATAACCTTCAATAAGCTCCCCCACGATTACTTCACAACAACCTCCTTGATTGCACAAATCAGCCATGTTTGACTAGTCTGGAAGGCCATGAATCACCTTCTGATCTGTAAATAGTTCTGCAGCTGAGTCAATTAATTTTCAACTCAGGTCTTGCTCCAGAAGATACGCTGCAAAGCGTCGCAGTGTTTCCTCTGGAGCTACAGAGAGGTCAATTCTCACTGCTGGGGAAATGCCCTTCATCCCTTTTCCTAGCACCCTGCTGCCATCCTCCCCATCTTGAGAGAGGAGTGGCTCTGCCACATACCCCATTCATTGGCATTTGGGCTTCTTTTTTTCAATGCTGGTGAAATGGGGGTGTGGCTAAATTGAGAAGAAGGGTGGGGAAGGCGGTAAAGCAGGGGTCTTCAAACTTGGCCCTTTTATGACTTGTGGACTTCAATTCCCAGAATTCCTCAGCCAGGCACGCTGGCTGAGGAATTCGGGGAGTTGAAGTCCACAAGTCATAAAAGGGCCAAGTTTGAAGACCCCTGGGTAAAGGCTTGTTGCCATTTCATAACCCTTCTCATGGCCCCTGTCAGGCTTCAAAAAACAAGAAAGACGGGTTGAGATTCTCAAAGCAGTTTCCTTTATTGTTTCTCACCAAAAGACACAAATCTTATCAAACTACAGCAGACTACTTGCACCATAAAACATAGTTTGGTCTAGTGGTTGAGGCTTCACCCTAGAAACCAGGAGGCTGTGAGTTCTAGTTCTGCCTTAGGCATGAAAGCTGGCTGGGTGACTTTAGGCCAGGCATTCTATCTCAGCCCAACTCACTGCAAAGGGTTGTTGTGAGGAAAATAGGAGGAAGGCATGTATTTGTCACCTTGAGTTATTTATAAAAATAATAAAGGGATATAAATAAAATAGTCTGGGAACTATTAGGGAGGAGCTGTCTTCACCCTCTTTCTCTCACACAAACTATCTAAAGTGCGACGTCTCTTGCTCCTCTAGAATTCTGGGAATCCAGCTTTTTTTTTTTAATCACCATCAGGCAGAGAAAACATTGTGTACTACGGTTGAGACAACACCAGTGAGAATCTTTGGGGGAGCCAAAACACTTTAAAATGATGCTATATATCTGTGGAAATATCAAGGTTCTCCTAACAAGATCTAATCAGGAAGTCAAAACCATTCTCTTCCTAGCAGAAATTTTGTCCTTAAATACAAAATTCAGTTCGAGTAGTGAATGTGCAATTAGCCATGCCTTCACTTGGAATTCTGTGTATACGATTGTTGCTTCCTTTGAAATAAACTTTATTTTATATCTGCACATCCAGCTCATTATTTCCAGTAATTGCTGAAATAAGAATTTCTCACTAAATCTTTGCTCTGTAATGTAGGCCTTTCTAGTGCTAAAATTCTTCCCGGCATGATATGGGCTTTCACAATGTGAATAAAATATTATGGTGGTTTTTAAACTGCAAGCAAGAGATTCCAAAGGCTTTTTATTTTTTTCTTAGAGCTTTTAAAGAGGGAGCACTATGGCAATAGACACGGGAAATCTGTACAAAAACTAGCAAAACAGGATTGCTATCTGTCTATTAATCTTGAGAAATTTCCTTTAAAAAAAAACACTTCCTCTAACTAAATGTATCTGTGTCAAAAGAAATGTTCAACAGACAGAAATAAAATACTCAGAATAGGTTATGTTTAGCCTGGAGAGCTGAAGATTAAACAACAGCAGGGGACACGTCGGCTGTTTTCAAGTATCTGAAGGACTATCCCAGAAAATGAAACAAGTAGCCACGTTCACATCACACTTATCAAGTCAAAGACCTAAGATGTCATCGGGGGTGTCATCAAAAAAGTCAAGATGGTGCTTTGCTTATATAGGACGGGGTTTTGCTTGTAGAGCTGAGGCTGCCGTTGTGATTTTTTTTTTTTTAATCCTTTCTGCAGATACCCTTGGATTTCATCCAAGCATAGTAGCCCATTTGTTTCTGAGTTAAGACTGAGAGCAACCCCCTCTAAAATATGCAAGATTAGTTGCTGAGTGACTCACCTAGTTTTTTTCCTTTGTAATCTAAACGTAGGAGAAATTAGTTCTGTCTTTGAGCCTCTGGCAGAGACAGAAGGCTAAAGTGAACCCATAAAACGAAGATTTTCCAGTTGTGGCAACTCAATTTTTTTTGTTTTGTTTTAGGGTTTTTTTTTTAAGGGCAAAACAGACTTTCCGCTCTTTTATCCCTGTTGATTCTTTCTCCGTCTGCCCAGTACAATATTTCTGTGGGAATTTTGTCTTTTTTCCCTCTCTTTTCTTAAAATGTTTGGGGGGGAAAGTGCAATCAGCTGAAAACATGATTGTGATAGCGGCCAAGATGGCTGCTCCTGATATCACCAGGTCAACGCTTGGGTTCATCTGGCACTGCATCATTGCCTCAAAAAGCCAAAGTGCATTTTTTTTGTCATTGTGGAGATCAGGATTAGGAGTGTGAGAACACAAACAGTGGCTTACTGCAGAGGTCCCCAACCTTTTGGGCACCAGGAACTGTTCCATGGAGAAAGGTTTTTCCACAGACCGGAAAATGCGTAGTTTTGTGTGCTGCCTACATCCCGCAGATGGGGCTTTGCTTGTTTGTGTGACCCAGTTGCTGG